AGCTCCATCTGCATATGTCCGACCTTATCTATCCTATATTAGGGTACGTATAAGATCACCTGTATCACCTGGTTGATCATCGAATTGCTCGAGCGGGCGCCAGCAACGTCTCCATTCGTCCCTGTCGCGTGCAAGAGTTGTCCAGTGGATCCTCCTCGCTCGAGGGACACGAAGCCTTCATTCCTTTCGTTCAGAGCTTTCGTGAAGAAGTCTGACCATCGGGCCGGCGGTCGTCCAGGTGTTCGTTTGACGTCCCGAGGGATCCAGTCGGTAACCGCTCTGGTCCAACGGTCATCGCAAAATCGCATGACGTGTCCGGCCCACCTTATCTTCGATTCCTTGGCGAAAACAGCTGGAAAATTACTCGAAGGATCCAACCACTCTGCTTTTCCTAGTTTCTGCTTCCAATTACTATACTTCACGACTTTTCCGTCCTTATTCACATACAAGTCTGTGTCGTTTTACTCAACTCATTGTTTTGAAGGTGACACTTTTCCTTAACGGTGTATCCTTTCAACAACAGATTTTCAGGTATTCCTTAATTTATGAGGCTCATAGTGACAGCCGTTCTTCTCCTAGTTTCGATCTATGTTTGTGCCTACCCCTCCCACGAACATAGTGGTCAGTGTTATCAGATTTCGAGTTTTGTCTTTTATTTCTTTTCACATAAAAATGTTGCCCTAGTAAAAATATTTTCCAATCGACAGTTTGATTCAAGACGATGGAGAATCGGTACTTACTGGTCTCTAAGTATGCAGGCGTGAATACAAGAGTTGAAGGAAGCAAAAGGGAGTTGGTTGCCCAACTACACCCAGCAGCCCGAAGGTTTTCCCGGCCTAGGTGAAAAAGTCTCGAAGGCATATTCAGACAAGCATCAGCAGATTTTTCAAGCTTGGGTGTTGTCTTAAGAATGGGACGCAATTTTTGTGCAATTTTTAGAGGCATTTCATATTTATAATCGTTTCCGCGTTCGAAATAGTGTCACTAGTTGAATGTATCTAAGACGGAGAGTAGCGAGATTTGACGAGGTTTCAGGCCAGTATTTTTATATTATACTATAGTTTACTATTTTTATATTTTATAGGAACTCAACTCATTTTTCCCTTGTATCAATGGGGTGCTTTTGAGGAATGGAAGGTTCATTGTTATAAGTATAGAAAAGTTCAAATGTACGAAAAGAATGTAACGGTGCGAAATGGGCCGACAGCAAAGAAAAAAGAAAAGGAAAAGACTGTGAGCTCGCCCACTTTTGTACTTCAGCTGCGCTAACCAGTGAAAGACTGAGCGCGGAGAGAAGAGTATGAGGCGTGAGATAGCAGCAGATGAGAGGGCACCAGACAACAAATGTCTTATGCGGACGAGTTAATCGGAGCTGTTGAAGCTGTGTTTGTAAGACTACAGCAAAGGTCGGGCTTCTTTTCCCATGTACGGAAGTTTCACATTTGCGATTTCCCTCCAGGGGTCTATCCTCCCACAGACCGAAAGAAATCACTCACACTTGCGAAAAGAATCGATTTTTGTGTGGGTTGAGTCTTTAAAGGACGAATTCACGATGAAAAAGCAACCCATTTCAAATTAACCTAGGGATGGTGAGTGGTACACGAAAGAAGGAAGAACCATGAGAAACGGCCCAGAACCCGGGACCCCTTCCTTGCCCGTTGATTTGAGCATTGATGCGACTCTCATCGCTGTGCCCTCTTCAACACTACGCTCTCTCACCTATCTAATCACTCGCCACGTATAGACCTGCGGCGAGTGATCAGATGATCGGTGGGCGTGCACTGGCCCACCGCGCCAAGATTGAGCCTTAATAGGTCGCCGAGGTCAACTCCTTCGGTGCCAATTGCGCTTCAGTCCGCACCCTTAGGAGGTCCGCGGGTCCCTCAACTAGGTGAATTACTCCTTCTTCGACTTCATTCTAATCGTGAATTCGTCCTTTAAGCATTTATAAATATTACAGAGCACATGAGTCAAAGCACTTATCCCTTACTGCTACTCCTTTTTCCCAACTTACTAGCAGGAGCTAATCCCATGATGAAGTTTTTCGTACGGGGAAATCTTAACCCAAGAAACCCAAGGTTTGACGTCTACGGCGATCATGGATCGAGAATCTTCTTGATCGCGCTGGTTCAAGGCAAATAACGGATGATCACCCTGAGCAGCAACCGTAGAATAGGCCAAATGTGATAAACCCTCCTACTGGATTTTCACGTGCTTTTCTTCAAATAACCAGATGAACTGCATCCCATCGCGGTCTTGCTAGAAAATCACCTCATACAGTTGATAAGTTGTCGAGCTCCTGCGCTTCAAATAATCTTTTGAGCGACTTGACTATTAACTGCAGTTTCTAGAAGTTGAGTAGAAAACATTAAAAAGATTGTTGCAGAAACAACCAGCTACTGGGGTTTTTACCTTACTTCCCAAGTCAAAGACGTGCGATAGTTCCCCTTGAACATAGCATTCTCCACGCTCTCTGAAATGAAACCATGATTATCGATTTAAGAAATTTAAGGGTAGCATTTTGATGGGGATATGGCATTAAGGCACAGCCCAGGCAGAAGTCGTGTGAACGATTCCCTTCGGTCTGTAGGATAGACCCTAGAGGACAATCACAGATGTGGCATTCCCGTGCACGGAAATCACCCGACAAGAGCGCTAGGGCCTTGCAAAGTAAGCTGCAGCAGCTGCAATTTTTTCTTTTATCAGGCTGTTGTCTGGCGCCCTCTCATCTGTTGCGCTCTCTCGCCTCATACTCTCCTCTCCGCGCTTAGTCTCTCATTCCCTTAGCACAGCCGATTAGGAAGGTGAGTGAGCCCTTAACCTAAGCGTTTTCGACGGATTCTTTTCCTTTTTTCTTTACTGCCGGCCCATTTCGCACCAATACATTCGCATTCGTGTGCAAGAACACCAAATTGATCCTGGGCATGCCTTCAAGGGCGTAAGAGAAAAGTTCCAGTTCTCCTTGCGCAAATAATCAGTTTACCTTTAATATAGACAACACATCTTCAATTCGAACCATATCCTATCTGAAAAAAATTATTAGCCCTTTCACAGGTCACAACCACCCAGATCATCATATATCTGCGAGGAATGCACATGATAACAACGAAAGCGCCACGCACACAGATGAATCGGAGGAGGAGGAGGGAGACGTTGATACAGTGAGCGAGAGCATTCCAGATAATGAGCTAGAGGAGATCGTGGCGCACGACGACTGCGTCGAAGGCCACAACAAGAACGAAGAGGTGCGTTGCGTTAGCGCTGCTACTCATAGCGCAGCTCTGTATTTTTCAGGAGCCTGTCGTGGAGGAACATGAAACACACGCAAAACTCTCACTGAAAGATCAGCAACGTGACCACAAAGTGGGCAAGAGAAGTGCACCTGGTATGTGGAAAGTGCTCTACATTTTGTCCCTCTGTTGCGGATGACATCTCCACAAGCAGCAGGAGCGATAATCCCTAGTCGTTTTATAGACGCTTTCCGAGGACAGTGCGGGCAAGGCACAAACCTGGGCCTTTCGTTTCTTTGCTTGCTCGCTTCTAATCTGGGTCAATGCTTTTGCTCATAACTCAGCGTCCTTCTTATAACTTTCGCATAGATAACAGGGCGGAAAACAACAGCCAACATAAGAAAACACATCGCATTTTAAGCCTTCACTTTTCCTTTCTTCCCTTAGGCTAACCAACCAATAAGCAGCAAACTAAGGAGAGAATGACCGACGTTGGAAATCCTACGAGGATGGGGTGAGTGGGGACACACTTGAAGGCACTTCAAAGGCTGAGCTCGACCATCTGCCACTCACCCGCTGCCAAATCTCTGAAACAAAGTGACACGCGGGCCAATGTGATACGGAGTTAGACCTCCTCCCGCACAGATATATAACACATACCGTTACACTGGGGCTCATATATGTGATCTCGAGATGGGTAGTGGGACAACTTGACCACTTTCAAGGCTGAGCTCGAATCTGCACTCCACCCTCTGCCAACTCCTTGAACAAAGTGACACGGCCAATGTGAAAAAACCTACGGAAAAATCACAAAAAACCTTGTGAAAAAACTGAAAAACAAAAACAGGAGACCTAATGTCCGCCTACCATCGTTCCCCCGTGAGCAGCAGAGCAGAACGTTTGCTGTATGTAATCCATGAGAACGGCTAATTGCTTCCCTTTGCCATTTCCGTTGCGAAGTCCTATCTATTGATTTCCAGTACAAATGAGTCACAACCAGCGTCAGCCTAGGAAATTTCCAATAAAGGGAGCATTCGTTCTTGGCGTATTCGGTCCAATCGGTACATTGTATTTAGAATATATGAGTGGACGAATTTTGGGCTATCGCGGAGGTTTGCTCACAAAATGTAGGGAAATTTGTAATGCAGTTCCATTTCATCAACTCTTTTTAACCCTTTCGAGTAAGTGGGTTGGTTCGGGTTAGGATATCACTGGATAATGAATAAAAAAGGAGTGGGATCCTCTCAGGTGGTGGTGGGGAGGCACAGCGAACTATTTTATCCAATGTATTACTGACCCTGCTCACAGCCCATTCCGATACAGGGCTAGTTCCGCATACTCTTCTGCCGAGGATATTACTTTTGCAAATCAGTTCCTTAATAGTTTTATATTTTCAGTGTTTGAAGGTCACGGTCGTCACGGTGTACGTGAGAAACGATCAGAGAGCGAGGGAGATCCGCACGATGAAGGCTACATTCATTCGGAAGAAGGCCAAGATTTCTCTGAATCAGATCATCAGGAGCACCCTGACAATGCTGAACATTCTAATCGAAAGCGCCGTGACGCGGAAGAAGACCCAGACCTCCCAGAGCATTCAGAGCATTCATCCCATAGCCATGAAGGTAAGCCTGAAATAATTTTTTACCTCTCGTTGGAGTTCCCACGAGAAGAAGCAAACAGCTGAGGTGAAAATGTGAAATCTTGGGGAAACCACATAAGCTTCGAGCCTAGAATTTGAAGCCACGCGCGTCAGGATTAGGCAACCAGCAGAAGATCTTCCCAGGGCGCGATAGTGGGCTCCCCAAGCACTGAGGGCGCGACACTACCGCGACCCCAAAGTGCGCGGCAATGGCGCTAAGCTTGTCCGCCGCGACCTGCCCGTTGCTTGCCCAGAGCAGGGTCGGTCCTATCGTTGCTACTTTTCAAAAAGTTTTTACGACCCCCCTCCCTCATGAAATGTTTCATACGACCCCCTCTTTCAAAACAATTTTTACCCCAAAAAATTACCGTCGAGCGGGGGGGTTATATATATGTATACTTTCCCAAGTTTCTTCATTTTCCTCTCCCCTTTTGGGCACAGTGTGATTGAAGACTATCCCAACTTCTTATTGATACCAACTACAAACCGTTCTCAAAATTAGTGGTACACCCCTTGTCACAGTATGCCAGTTCTCACATTGAACCGACAAAGGACTCTGGCACGCTACATATAGCGACAGTTCAACGTAGCCAAGAGGCTTTTCTGTGTAACGATTGAAAGCTTCAATAAGTTGGAAACCATATAAGATGGAAAGGAGAGACTCGAAGGATACGTTTATCACTAGTACAAATATTAAATGCTGAAACTCGTTCTCCTCCTTGCGACGCTCCTACCGCCACATTGAAGACCCATGTAAAAGACCACTTGGATACAATTCAGAAATCGGTTTACTTATAATTTCAGAGCCGCACCATTACGAGAAGAGGTCGTCAGGACATCATCGTGGTACGTCTGATCGCTAAATTCCTACACACAATTTGTTTTTTGTCCGTACAAAATCATGGAAAGAATTTGGGGCATTAACTTGAAATCTGGCACAAGAGGAGAACTTTCTTGCACCGTTGACATTCCTTTCTTTCTTTTTCCCTCTGATAGATAACGAATGCGAGCCGAATGACATTGAGTTTGAATGTTCTCGATGAGAATAGCCATCCTATACCCACGCCGTTCCACCGTGGTCCGCTTCACATTTTTTATGATTTTGAAATTCCCACTCAGTCCAGCAATAAATGAAGCAGGGATGAAAACGGTTCCGGTGTTCGATATAGGATGACTACATACTTTTCGAAGTACAACTTGAAGGAATCCTTCACGGAAAAATCATGGATCTCCAACGATAGGAGACTCAGCCTTTTTTGAACAGCACTCAATTCGTTTGGAGACCACATTTCATGGATAGAACCCAGTGTCCGACCTACCATCATTTCCTCGTAAGGTCTGGGAAGAAAAGAAGCGAGAGGTTCTAGTCCCGCCTGGGGCGAAAGTTTTGTTCACAACCCAGCATTCTTGTGAAACATTCGCAACGCGAACTGCGGCGTTAAAACAGCAGTTAACAAACAAAAACAAGTCAAAATCATGATTCATTTCAGCCATAAACCACTTGCTTGAGACTCATTATCCACGATAAGAATGAAAAGAACAGAAATATTGCTTTTGTTTTGGTAAAAAAAAATTCAAAAAATCGAAGCCAAAGTGCACAAGGACGTCCTTCACAAATGCTGGCGATGCCTGCACTTGGTTCTTGGATTGCCTTCACTAGAAAACTCTTTCTGGCCTTCTGCTTCATGCATTCACATCTTACACTTCTACTCCATCCTATTCTATCGATCGATTTGTCTCCTACTCTCCGAAATCGCGCGCTTTAACCCGATTCTCTCATTGCGTCGCCTGATACGTAGCCGGCCAAAGGCCAACTTCTTTCCATACCTCGCCTTGGCTCCGCCCGAATTACCTTCGATTGTCCATAGAGTGTAGTTTTCGTGTTTGTTTTTCTTTAGAAACCGAATCTCCATGCGTGAAACTTGTGTGCTGTTTCCAGTGGTCACACCTGATACATTCATGTCAAGAAAGAATGCAAAAATTTTCCGCGAAAGACTCCTTTAAGTTCTGTATGTTGTGGGCAAGAAAGGATCCCTACTGCTCTCCCCACTCTCTCTCTCTCTTGATCCCTTATACATTTTTGCCATCACAAGATTGAAGATACTGTAGAAGTGATTATATATTACCCTATTTACCTTTAGATCATATTCACAAAAGAGACGTTGAAGAATCAGCACACGAAGATGAACCGACATTCGCCTCCGATGACGTTCACCAAGTAGATTCAGTAGGTACATTATATTTTATCTAGACTAGCTACAAACACTACTAAAGCATGCACCGAAGTTCCATTTCGCTGTCAGCTTGCACATTGAGGCCCAAGCACTTAATATGCTCGCACACAAGGACATCATAAAAAAGCAGTGATGTGAGAAAGCACGGTTATCTCGTTTGGCTTAATGGGGTGGGGCATTTTGTGATCAAAGCCCAAGGCATTTCGATATACAGGTCCAAATAAAGCAGTAACCCACTAATCTCTTTCTGCAAAAGTGAAATGTTCCCTTGACGACTCTATCCGCAATAGCTGGGGTCCCTGTTGTCGAGAATAAGTACATATAACATCAAAACACCATCCTTCCCACGAGTGCCAGAAATTGCAAAATTTCATAAACTTTGCGATGACAACCACATTTTCCATTTGTCCCATAGAAGCAGAATCGGAAGGAATTGCGACCACCGAAAGCCACATAGCACCATGCATAGATGATAGAACGAGAAAATATGTATACTAGTGCAACAAACTGTCGACCGCGTTTCGAGACCAACGTTCGGAAATCATTTCTAACCATGAAAACTACGTGGAAAAAAAGAAATCCAAGAAATACCAGCGTTTTCCGAGAATACTGCGGTCACATTGAATTCTCTGACCACATGTGAAATGAGGTTTTTTCACTGCGCCGCTGATGACTGGGTTTTTCTTTGTACATTCTCTTTCGACTTGAAATGGTATTTCGATTATTATGTGACGAGGCGCTTGGAGTTTTCAAGGTGTAAAGGAAGCGATTACCTCCAAAAAATGACCAGAATAAAAACTGTACTAGTCTACAATTGCTATGCAGGAAGTACCCAAGACTAGGCCGCTTTGCCACAACCTGGGTCTTCCCTCACGCACACGTTTTTTGGGCGCCATTGCTACCCACTTAGTTGGACTTACATTACCCGGGATGGCACAGGGTGACGGCGTTCACTTCCTATTCCACAGCACCAAGCCCCCCGCCCCCATGGAGCGCAGCTAGCGAAACCTATGTCACATCGAAATTGAAGAAGGGAAGGCTCCTTTGGCTCATCTCGATGCACCTTGGTAAGTGCCACGCCGGGAGTATTATCGGCCCGATGCCCTTTCCGAAAGGCTCTGTACATTGGAACTAGGAGAGAAGAGAAAATAACAGCCTCTTCACCAATAACAGCATCTTCAGTTTTTCAGAAATTGCTCTTGAGGTACTCCAGTATTTGTGGAACTTCGTTATAATATTCACACATTCAAATAAAATCTTAGTTCTATTTAAAGAATGAGCCAAAATTACAAGATAGTAAAGCCGGTAACACAGCGATATAATTAAACATAGGTAGTACTATCGGAAAGGCTAACATAGAGGATTACTGTGGTAGCAATGAAGCTTCTGCTTCCAATCTCCGAAAAGAACTCCTCACAGAACAGTTCGCAGCGCACAAGGCTCAATTTCAGCACTTCTTCAAATAATGCCGTCTAAGAGGTTTTCCTCCTAAGCTTATGACACATTACCGGTTTTGAATTGAGAATAATTGTCTGCGTTTCACCAAATTTCAGCCCTTCGAGTGAAGCGAGTTTCGCGTGCTGGTAGCAGCCACAAACCGCGGGTGATGAACAAGAACAAGGGCAACAGTCGTGCTGGGCCAGCGAACCCGACAAACCAAGCAGTGGAATAGATCTGCTGATCGTGTTCTGCTTGTAGTTCTAGTGAATGTTTGATCGTCAACCTCATTCTGATCATGGCATCTTTGAACAAGGTTATCTACTGAATAACTCAATTTTAGTTACACGTCTTATGGTTACCATGTTTGGTTAGCCTATGCTTGCCTTGAGCCCTTGACTTTTGTCCGTCCTTCCTAATATTACCATGGACTACTAGCTTTTTTGAAATGCTTGTCATATATTTGAACTTTTTTAACGTCTTTGAGTCGTACATTCGATGTCTTGAGCTTTCGTAATAAAGCTCTCTGTACCCTCCTTCACGTCGCACTAATTAAATGTCTGTCGTTTCTGAATAAAAACTGGAACAATTTTTTCATACGATTTCCTGACACATTCATCAGGTGAACCTGAGTACATGTTCATACCATCACCCGAAATTACCGAATACTCAGGTGTGCAATTGAGAGAACTAGGTAAGCTCCTCCGGCTACCGGATAGTAGCTGTATTTCGATGGAGCAAAAATGATTAGAGAACAGAGGCATCCGATTGGTGATCAATCCCTTTTTTAGGCTGGCGGGCACGCGTTATTTAGATGTGTTCTTGGAATGGTAGCCGGCAGGGTAGACCGAAGGCAGGCCCATTCGCGCAATATGAAAGAGAGCGCACAGCCGCGGGGTCGCAGCGCGTATGCAGTGAGCGTTTCACGGTTTTATGTGTTGTTAAAAAAGAGAAAAAAAGGGGGAAGAAATTTTTGTGGTGTGGAGGGAAAAGGTGGGATAGTAGAGGGTGGAGAGGTTAGACATGTAGTCACCGCAAGATCTACATCGCACGGCAGCTTGGAGGATGCTCGCCTGACGTCGCCGGTTTTTTTGACGACGGGCCTGCCTGTGTGGGTCCCGTAGCGGGCTGGGCGGAGGCTGGCTTCTGCGTGGCCACGTGATGGTTCGCAAGGTTAAAGCTCTATTTATAATCCCAAACGAGTCTGGTATTAATTATCTCCTCCGAAGAATGGTATGCTCCTGTTAGGCCTAGACGAAGACTACCATTATGGACCGAGACCGCATGGTAAGCGGTGCAGCAGTAGTCACTACTCAACTTTTGCAACCTTTTGATGAAAAATGTTCGTCATTCGAACAGTAGTTGGTGTACAGGCTCGTGTTCTCATGAGGTAGACGATTTCAGCAGGATAGGGAGCTTTGTTGACTCTACAGTGAAGGGACCTTATACCTGCACCGTTGTTTCTTGGTAAGCGGGCCATCAGCTGCGGTCACTGCTACCGCCTGGTTATTCAACAAAGAGCTCCTGATACTATCATATTAGAAGATTTCGATATACCCCAATCACAGAACAATTTACAATGAAAGTGAAAGACCATGCTAAATGCTCTTGGTTGGGTCGTGCAGGCTGAGGGGTTGAGGCACTCTGTGTCAGAATACTATAACGGACGTGTTTTGTTGGTGAACGGAGGATCCCACGGTATAGATTGGAAGGTCAAAAGAAAGGGAACGCGTTGTCTAGTTAGAAGGAAAGGCGGACCTCCTGAGTGCGCGAACCGACGCGCAACTGGCAGCAAAATATTTGACCTCGGCGATGTAGCATGGCTCACCCTTGGTGTAGTTGGTGCGTGGGTACGCCACGACTGTTTTGATGAAGGCTTTAAGTCAAGTTACAGCCAATCTTTTTATTGCCAAGATTTGAAACAGCATTTCTTCTTGGGCTGTTACAATAGCAGTTTGAACACCGAGGTTTTCCCCTATGGATGAATATACTGTTTCTTCTGCTGAGGAATTATTTAGGTAGTGCGAAAGGCAAATCTAGGAGCGAGATACGAATCCTTTCTCATGCGAAATGGCAATTAGCTATGTAGGTCTATGGTAGCATACCGGGTAATCTGGACGCTATGATTCTGTAGTAGTACAGAAACCGACATAGCAGAGAGTGTTTGGAGAGGGCACGATGAGATGAGTCGCATCAATGCGATTTTGCGATTTCAATGGCCTAGAAAAGGTCCCATTTTCGAGTTTCGAGCCGTTCTCTCATGGTTTTTCCTTCTTTCTTGTATCACTGGCCATCCTTAATTTCGAAACGGTTTCCCTTTTCAGCGTGAATTCCACTTTTAAATCCGTGGTGAAATCATGAGAACATTTATTTCCATATTATCACAGAAATTATCATCAATTGCACAAGAATGCTTTTTATAAACGAGGTCACTGCATCTGGATATAGAAATCTGTCAAGGCCATCTCTGAAATGTTTGTACCCTACGCCTGAGCGTTCCTTTCATCCTTGTCTCTCAGCAAGACCAGTCTTGTACAGCTTTTCAGGCTCGTTCAATACCACACGATCAATGAACTCTTTGCCTTGGATGAAGCAGTGATCCTTAAAAGCGTTCCAATCAAATTAGCTCCAACAAACCATCAGCCAAACGATTTTGCATAGACAAGTGAGTGACAGTTTCAAAAACGACTTTTAATTAGTTCTCATGAAAAGGCGGAAGAAAATGTGCAAGAAGCGAAAGTCATACCGAAAGCCTGTTACGGAAGAGAAGCGTACCTGATTTGACACTTCGTACTTCCACCCACCAAAACGTCCTCTTGAGTAGATAGAGTGCTTCTCCAACTCACGATGTGCACGAGCAAGCTCGGGATCTCTCTACAAAGGCCCGCAAATATTAAAACCCATGATTTCTTCAATCGAGATAGTTCTAACTAATAAGAATTTTGATGTATGCCACTTTACCATGTAGAGCAAAAGACAAAAGATGACTCCTATCACTGTCAAAGAAGCTCTTGTTCAATTCCATTGTCATTTTGTTGCTAGGAGTTAATTTTAGATTCTCTGGGAAGAAATTTTCCTTTACGATGCATATGGCACCACTTTTACTTTCTGGGACAGTAGTAGAGTGCACTTACTCTATAGCTCGTAATCAGAGCTGCTGATCGAGGGCCCTTACCATTAGCGTGGAATAAGCGAGGAAACTCCCTCGAATTGATCCAAGAACTTCCCGACATTGTTTGCAAAACTGACGCCGTCCTTGGATCTTAACCCCTGATCGCTCCGACCATACACAGATTCAATACCTCTGCATCGTGGAGCACCGATAGCCACCATTGAAAGAATCACTAATATCGGAATGAAGCAGGGGTCGCAGGTTTGTTTGTGGCCACATGAAGCAGATTTTACGATCTTGCCCCGCGTAAATGTGCACTAGCATGTTCTGCAATGCTCGATCTCTGAGCTTTTTACTCTGCTAGCATCATGTGCTTTTCTATCACGTGAAGCTCAACTACTACTAATGGCGTTAACTTCTAATT